AATGTCTTGAAACCTATTTAAATACAGTATAAAAATGTTTACAAATGCAGCTAAGAGGACAAATAAATGATAAACTCTTAATTTTAATGAAGACTTTGGTTTAACTACTACTAGTAATTCCTTACTTTCCAGGAATATTTTTTGAATTAGGGCTTTAAAGAATACTATTAAAGAAATTAACTCATCAGTGAAAGGATAACTACTGTAGAAGCAAATTCCTATACTACTGTAGTAAAGAGATTCAGGAACCCAGAACTTTGGTTATTTCAGAAAACAAATAAAAGATTATACTATTAGTTACAATAAGCTTTCAGAAGGAAAAGTCCAGGAAATCTCATTAATTTAGATCCTACAAATGAAGACACAATAATTTCCTTTCAAATTTGCCTAGATTTAATTTGGACTATTAAGAAAGGAGTTGCTAAGGAAATTAATGTACAAATAAAAATTGCTAGGGTATTAGTTAGCCAACTTAAAATTTTTTACTTGCAAATAATTGCTACTAAAATACTAAGTAAAACTAGCTCAGACATTCCTTAGAATCAAAATGTATGAAACAACCACTATATTGCTTAAATCTATTAGATAATTGTTCCATCCTGTTTATTTTGGCTGTGAAAGACTCATTTAGGGAGTCAGAAAAGCTTAACAGGCAGGATACTGGACAAAGATTTATACACCCTTCTCAATGGCTGGCAATCTAATTCACTAGTTTTATTTTTAATAAATATCGAACCACACAACTAAAATATGACTCAATTTCTCTCCATTATAATTTAAAATGTATTTTGGGGCATTCACATTATTCTTGTCTGCAAATAACACCACAAAAAAATATTCCCATGTCTATATCATCAAACATAAACAGGATTCCTTAATAAGATCTAGTATCTTGTCTAGCTTAGATATTTACTTTGCCCTAACAGCAATCATCAAAAAAAACAAAAAAAAAACAAAAAAACAAAACTGATTTAAACCCAGTAGTGTATGTAATTCTGAAAAGAACTGGGATATAGTCCAAATCAATAGTCCAAACAAAACATCACAAAATGCTATGGCGGCAAGTGTCAGACAATCATGAATGTCTAGATTTAGGTGCATTTAAAAACCACAGATATTTATTTTCTTCTCCAAGAAATTTCTTACTTAAAATGTAAGGCACTTCTCGGTGGGAATGTAAGCTAGTTCAACCTCTGTGGAAAGCAATATGGAGGCTCCTCAAAAAACTAAAAATAGAAATTCCATTTGACCCGGGAATCCCACTCCTTGGAATTTACCCAAAGAATACAACTTCTCAGATTCAAAAAGACATATGCACCCCTATGTTTACCACAGCACTTTTTATAATAGCCAAGATACAGAAGCAACCTAAGTGTCTGTCAGTAGATGAATGCATAAAGAAGATGTGGTACATATACACAATGGAATATTATTCAGCAGTAAGAAAGAAACAGATTCTACCATTTGCAACCACATGGATGGAGCTGGAGGGCATTATGCTCAGTGAAAAACGCCAGGCGGAGAAAGACAAATGCCAAATGATTTCCCTCATTTGTGGAGTATAACAATGAAGCAAAACTGAAGGAACAAAATAGCAGCAGACTCAGAGACTCCAAGAATGAACTATTGGTTACCAAAGAGGAGGGCTGTGGAAGGACGGGTGGGGAGAGAGGGAGAAGGGGATTGAGGCGTATTATGTTTAGTTCACATGGTGTGAAGGATCATGGGGAGAACAGTGTAGCACAGAGTAGGCACATAGTGGATCTGTGGCTTCTTACTACACTGACAGACAGTGACTGCATTGGGGTATGGGTGGGGCCTTGACAATATGGGTAAATGTAGTAACCACATTATTTTTATAATTAAAAAATTTTTTTTATTTTGTTATCATTAATCTACAATTACATGAAGAACATTATGTTTACTAGGCTCTCCCCTTCACCAAGTCCCCCCCAACAAACTCCATTACAGTCACTGTCCATCAGCGTAGTAAGATGTTGTAGAATCACTACTTGTCTTCTCTGTGTTGCACAGCCCTCCCCTTTCCCCTACCCCCCCCATTATACATGCTGACCATAAGGCCCCTTTCTTCTTCCCCGCCCTTATCCCTCTCTACCCTCCCATTCTCCCCAGTCCCTTTCCCTTTGGTAACTGTTAGTCCCTTCTTGGGTTCTGTGATTCTGCTGCTATTTTGTTCCTTCGGTTTTACTTTGTTCTTATATTCCACATATGAGTGAAATCATTTGGTATTTGTCTTTCTCCACTTGGCTTATTTCACTGAGCATAATACCCTCTAGCTCCGTCCATGTTGTTGCAAATGGTAGGATTGGTTTTCTTCTTATGGCTGAATAATATTCCATTGTGTATATGTACCACATCTTCTTTATCCATTCATCTACTGATGGACACTTAGGTTGCTTCCATTTCTTGGCTATTGTAAATACTGCTGCGATAAACATAGGGGTGCATCTGTCTTTTTCAAACTGGGCTGCTGCATTCTTAGGGTAAATTCCTAGAAGTGGAATTCCTGGGTCAAATGGTAAGTCTATTTTGAGCATTTTGAGGAACCTCCATGCTGCTTTCCACAATGATTGAACTAATTTACATTAGCACCAGCAGTGTAGGAGGGTTCCCCTTTCTCCATAACCTCGCCAGCATTTGTTGTTGTTTGTCTTTTGGATGGTAGCCATCCTTACTGGTGTGAGGTGATATCTCATTGTGGTTTTAATTTGCATAACCACATTGTTTTTCATGTGAAACCTTCATTAGAGTGTATATCAATCATATCTTAATAAAAAGAAGTAAAAAAAAAAATTTAAGGCACTTCTCATTTACATTTTACTTCTATCTTAACAATGACAATATACACTAACCATTAATTCTTCCAAAAATTATTCTGAGTGTCTGCTATATACATGACATATCATCTTATCAGTTGATGAATGTAAGCTGGTGAATCAGACACACCTGATCCCAGCCTCAACAGTGTTAACTTGGAGAGAAAAGGTAAACGCCACATGGAAGGCAACCTATATTACAGGAAGATCTATTTTATATTTAGGAAAAAAGAGACTGATTTTATCTGGCTTTTTAATAGATCAAAGAACAGTTGGTCAAAGACAAAGATGGTGTGTTTAGTGAGACCTTCCTCAAGTAACTCCTATTCCAGAGAAATAAAATCTAAAACAAACAAAAAATCAGAGCTCACATTCATATCAGAAACTGGCAAAGTCCTTTGGACAGGTGAGACTCACATCAATATCCGCAGATTTACATGTGAATGCATATTTACATAATTCACACAACTCAGTATTTACACTATCACCCAAGGTTGTAAATCATATTCTGTATGTTATTCTGCAACAGCTATCCATGTTTTAAAGCTTCTTCCAGCTCCACTATAAATGAATAAAAATTAAAGGTAACAGAGGGAAACTGTCATTATCCAAAACAATCAGTGGCCAATAATTTGAAAATATTATAATGAGTTAATCAGGGCAACAGACCTAAACACAAAGAACTCAACATATTTTAACATTTATTTGCATTACATTTAAAGTCCAAAAGACTATCTCACTTATGTGTAATAAGAATCACAGGCACTTTCTCAATAAGGAAGTTCTTCATGTAAGTAAGAATATCAAATATCAAACACAAAAGGTTTAGTTCAGTGAAAAACTTTGCTATGTCAAAAAGATACCATTTTTTCTCCTATTGGATTGGCAAAGATTAAAAAGATTAACAAAACCCAATGTGGGCAGGGGTATGGAAAACGGGACTCTCAGGAACTTTGGGGTGGGTATTGGTAATCATGAGAGAGCGGTTTAGCCACTGTATCAACATTTAAAATGTGTATCATCTTTGATCCAGCATCTTTGATACATCTAAGAAGACAAATGGATATACAAAGATGCAGCTATAGGGTTGATCAATACACCACTATCCCCTGGAAACAATCCAAATGGCTGTCAAAGGAATGACAAAATCAAGCAGGGTGCCTCTCAACAATGGAATATTACAAGAAAATACAAAAACTTTCATTTAAGAAAGATGTATTGCTAAGGAAAATCCATCTCTTTTTCCTAGACATAAAGTACATCTTCTAATAATATCGACTGTCTTTCATGTGGGTGCTTCTCTTGTCACTCCAAGTTGACATCGTTGAGGCTGGGGCTCGGTGTGTAAAATTCACCAGCTTATATCCAAGAACTAATATGATACCTGATATGTACATGGCAGATCCTCAAAACTGTTTTTGGAGGAATGAATGATCGGTGTATATTGTCATAGTTCGTGGTTTTTAGTCAGTAAAATGACCATGTATGATTATGCACGTCTTTTACAATTCTCGTGCAGTTAATATATAAAACATACTGTTGTATTAAAAAAAGACCACCGTGTAATGTGTGAGCCAGTTTATTTAAAGATTTGTACACAAATACTTCTATACCCATAGATTAGTCTCTAAAAGCATATTCACCAAAATATTAATAACAATCACTTCTGGGTGGCTTGAGTTAGGTATTTACTTTTGTCCTTATATTGTTTTTATACCGATGCAAGTTTTTTCTCATGATAGAAAAACACAGAAATTTTCATTTAAGGAGACAGTATTGTTTGTTATCTTACCAAAAGGCTTCAAATCCCTTCAACTCCTACTTTAAAAACAAAGTTTTCATTGAAAGGTGCAAGTATTTATAACCATTAAACAGTTTATGGGTTCCCACTTGCTGGATACCTTTCTCAGTGCCATGCTTTAAACAATGAGATAATGAGAATCTAACAATTAGATTCAGAGAAGTAAGGGAAAGACAAATAACCTTACTGAAACAACCTATGTTCCTGGCATCCACCTTAAGAACCCCAGGTTCTATGAACTTAAACACTCATAAAACAATAGCCCTCTTACATCTTAAGAAAGCAGGCTTTGGAAAGGAATTTTTAAAATAATGAGAGAAGTTTCTATTTAAAAAAAAATAATGAGTCATAAAAAAACTTACCTTAGTAAAAATATTTAATTATTTTCCTGTCTTACATTCTTTTTCTTAGCACCTTTATTGTGAACCTGGGTGAGGGGGGAAAAAGTAAAAATTACTTCTTATTGAACATTTTTCCAGGAGGGGTGATCAAAGTCTCCAGGGGAACATGAAGCATAAGATAGATTGGGAAGGACAAAACAGAAGTTACTAAAATGGGATGACTGGGAAGGAAAATGGGAAGTTGCAAGTGTAATTACATAACTTGTCCTAAATTGTTAAAAAAAAACCTTGTAATGCCTGTATTTAACAAACGGGGTTATAGCACTAGCAGGTTAAGAGCTGGGTTGCTAGACTCAGATCATCTGATTTGAATCCCAGCTCTACCACTTCCTAGGCTGTGTGATCTTCAGCAAGTCCCTAAAAATGCATGTGCCTTGGTTTCCCCTTATGTATGATAGTACCCAGCTCATAGAATTGCTGGGAATTAACCATATGAGAAAATCCACATCACGGACTCGAAAATGGTTCCTGGAACATAACAAATGTTCAATACATGTTTTTATTATTATTGTATGCTCTTATGTATTTGTCCCTTACTTCCTCTACCACCAATTATTATTATTATTATTATTACTGAGGAATGTCATAATTCTTGTCTTCAAGGGGCTTTCTTTCTCTTAGGCAAAAATGTATAAGGGATTTTGCAAAATTTAGAGCCTGTTAAAAACTACTTATAACTTCAGGGTGCATCAATTTCTGTACTTATTCAGAAATCAACAGCCTTTGCACATACAAAGTAACTTAGAAAGGATGAAAAGAAGACCTCACATAAGCAACAAAATGATCAAATATGTAACATAAATTTAACAAGTGGGGAAAAACTGTAAAATGTTTCAGAAGGATTCAAAAATAAAACCAAAGAAATGAAAAAATACACAATGTTCTTTGATAGGAAAATTTAGTATCAGAAAGATATCAATTCTCACTGGGTTTATAAGTTTAACATGATCTCAAATTTTTTTTAAGTGTTTTTTTCTGGAACTAGACAAAATGATTCTAAAGTTCACATGGAAAAATAAACAAGCAAGAACAGCCAGGAAAATAAAGGGCAATGGGGGAAACTAGTTTTACAAGATTCAAAACATTTTACAAAACCAGTAATGTATACTGGTACATGAATAGAAAGACTAATGGAATAGAAGTCCATAGAGGTACCCCAATGATACCTGGAAGTTCAGAATACAGTAAAAGTATACTGTATTCCAGAACAAATGGGTAGAGATAACTGGTAGCCATATGGGAAAAGGCAACATTGAATCTAAACACCACCTCTGAACAACAGAATAAATTCTAAATGGACCAAAGATTTAAATGTAAAAGTGAAACCATAAACATACTAAAAGAAAACATGGGCAAATTCCAAATTTTTGGAGGCCTTTCTGTGACTCAAAATCCAGACACCATAAAAGATTAACATTAACTAAAATTTAAAGAAAAAACTTTCAAGCCTTTTCTATACCAAAATACCTGAAACTAAATAAATATGACAAACTGGAGAAATCTGCAACTTATATCACAAAGGGCTAATATATAATTTATAAATTCCTTGAAATTGATAAGAAAAAGACAATCCACAGAAAAACTGCAAAGAATATGAACACAGAGTTCCCAAACAGAAATAGCTTGAAGCATAAGAAAAGATGCTCAGCCTCATTCATAACCAGATAATGCTCATTCATAAAGTAAATACATAATTCATAATCAGAGTTATGATTACTGAGTTATTATTTTTCACCTACCAGACTGATACAAATCCAAAGGTTGCTAAACACAGTCTGTTGGAGAGGCTATGGAGAAACAGGTACTCTAAATGCATTACTTGCAGGAGTTCAAAATGGTACAATTCTGGGGAAAGCATTTATAGAACTATAAATGCGCTGCTCACTAATTCAGCAATCTTACTTTGGGAAAGATATCCCACAGATACACCTCACACATAAGAAATAACATGTGTACAAGCTTCTTGACTGCAACACTGTGATTGTAAGAGATGGGAAAAAAATTCAAATATTCATCAGTGGGGGCTAGTTTAACAAACTATGGTACACAGGTTACCATATGTAGATATGGCATAGAATGGAATGTTCTGAAGCTGTTAAATAAAGAAATGTTCTCTATACACCAATATGGAAATATCTCAAAGGTATATTAACAGAAAAAAGCAAGTGGCAGAATATTTTACATAGTATGCTACATTTAAAATAAAAAGGAATAAATATATGTGTGTATATATACACACATATAGATAGATATATATATATAAGTATGTTGGTATTCACTTCTATCTACACAAAGAAACAACAATTTGAAAAAGACAGATGCACCCCTATGTTTATCGCAGCACTATTTACAATAGCCAAGAAATGGAAGCAACCTAAGTGTCCATCTGTAGATGAATGGATAAAGAAGATGTGGTACATATACACAATGGAATATTATTCAGCCATAAGAAGAAAACAAACCCATTTGCAACAACATGGATAGAGGTAGAGGGTATTATGCTCAGTGAAATAAGCCAGGCAGAGAAAGACAAGTACCAAATGATTTCACTCATATGTGGAATATTAGAACAAAGGAAAAACTGAAGGAACAAAACAGCAGCAGAATCACAGAACCCAAGAAAGGACTAACAGTTACCAAAGGGAAAGGGACTGGGGAGGATGGGTGGGAAGGGAGGGAGAAGGGGGGAGAAGAAAGGGGGCCTTATGATTAGCATGTATAATGTCGGGGGGGGGGCTTGGAGAGGACTGTGCAACACAAAGACAAGTAGTGATTTTACAGCATCTTATTACGCTGATGGACAGTGACTAATGGGGTATGTGGGGGGGACTTGGTAAAGGTGGGAGTCTAGTAAACATAATGTTCCTCATGTAACTGTAGATTAATGATACAAAAAAAAGAATAAATGAAGAAGTTACTGAACTTGGTTGATCCAAAGTAAAAAGGATTCTAGCTTACTCACATGAATCATGATGGCTGATATCAACAAGACAGGAAATAATAAGTGTGGGGAGGATGTGAAATGGGAACCCTCCTACCCTGTTGGTGGGAATGTAAATTGGTGCAGCTATTGTAGAAAGCAGTATGGAGGTTTCTCAAAAAATGAAAAACAGAAATATTGTACAAACCAGTAGGGTATTTACCTGAAGAAAACAAAATCACTATTTCAAAAATATATGCACCCCTATGTTTACTGGCACATTATTTACAATAGCCAAGATATGGAAGCAAACTTAAGTGTCCATCGATAGACGAATGGATAAAATAAACATGGTACATATTCACAATGCAATATTATTCACCCATAAAAAAGAACGAAATCTTGCCATTTGAAAAATATGGATGGACCTAGGGAATATTATGCTTTCACTTATATATGGTTTCACTTATATGTGTAATCCAAACAAAACAAAACAAACAAGCAAAGAGGACATAGACTCATAAATAAAGAGAACAGACTGGTTGCCATTGGGGAGGGAAGTGGGGTAATGCATGAAAGAGGGGAAGGGGGAAAAGTGGTGAGAATGCTTGGTATCTTCATCTGGGTGCTGGTTACGTGAGTGTGTACACATGTCAAAATGCATCCAGCTGTACACTAAGATCTGTGCATTTTATGGTATATATCTCAATTTAAAAAAGGTAAAAAGGATTCCATGTTGACTCAGTGTATTAGTTTTCTACACCACGTAGCAAGTTACCACAAACTTGGTAGTCTAAATAATGCTTGCTCATTATCTCACAATTGGTGTGGGTCTGGTGTCAGGGCATGGGCTAGCTGCTGGGTGCTTTGCTTAGGCCCCCACAGGAGGCAATAAAAAAAAAAACAGACATCTATAGGAAACAAAGAAGTTATCTATCAAGGAGGGGACAGGTTAGGCCACAACAGATTTGGAAATTAGTCTCCTCACAGTATATGCCATTTTAATTTTTTAACCATATGAACATTTTATCTACACAAAAAGAATTTTAAAGTGTTAAAAGTGTAACTCACAGAAGAGAAAGAGAACTGCCTGCCTATAAACCAGAATAAAAATCCAAGTACTAAAAAAGCAAAGTTTTTTTTCTGAAATTAGATGATGACAAGCAGTTTTAGCATGGCCATCACTAAAAAATAAAAGGCAATATAATTTTTTCTTCAAACAAGCTAAAGCATATGATTATAATAATCTATAAAAAGCTATTTGGAGGGGTGACGAATCAGGAGAGAGAACAGGAAAGTGTAATCTTTAATGACTCTCAGTGGTCCTGGCTCAGCAGCATCAGCATCACCTGAGAACCTGTTACAAACCAAGTTCTCAGGCCCCAGCCCAGACCTACTGAACCAGAAGCCCAAGGAGTAGTAGGCAGCAATTCCTGTAATATACAGTCAAGTGTGAGAACCACAAATCTGGTCCAGTGCCTCCCACACATTCATGTGCATCACTTGGAAGGGGATCTTGTTAAAATGCAGGTTCTGGTTCAGGAGGTCTGGGTGGGTCCCAGGGTCTGCATTTCAAACAAGCTCAAGAACACTGCTGATGGGGTTCGGGGACCACACTTTGAGAAGAAAAGCTGAAGTCCACCTGGGGAAGAAGGTACTGCAAAGAGTCTTCATGTGACTGGGTTTCCTATGAAACCTGCCTTCATTGCCAGATGGAAGAAGTCCTTACACAGGGTTCCTGGCAAGATACGATGTAGCCTCCTATATAAATTCTGTACTTAGTAGATAGTAAATATATTTTCAAACATATTTCTTATTAAAATAACAGCTATGAATTGCTGAAAACTAATTTAGGAATGTCCCATTTGAGAAAACTGGTTTGTAGGTGGACCTATGAGCCTTCCAGAATGGAAAAAAACAAAAACCATATCCATACATCTCCCTGGTTATCCCTGTATGATTAACTTTACCTCAAACACATTAACCACACCATCCGTTCTCCATGACAAATCACCAACCAGACAGTTTCCTTCTAAACATCTTCAAAAAATGGTTCATATATTTACAAACGCTGATTCTTTGTTTTACATGTGGGTTGGGGAGAGAATTTTTACAGGAATCCTCAAAGTAAAGAATTCTAGTTTAGGCTGAAGATCTGGAAATGTGTATCTTCATTTGCAAGTCATCCTCTGGATAAAGTTCTTGGTGTTAAACATTAATCACTGTGCTGAAATTTCCACATATTCCCTTTTTCATTGAATCTACGATGCCTTCAATTTGTGCACACACTATTATTTTGTGTACAAAGAAAAATCGCCAGTTAAACCTTGACATGCCAATTTTAAGATACCATTCCATCTTAGCTGTGCATCTTTAAAAAAAATGATGAAATAGCTTAATTATAAATCCAGAGACACGTGAATAGTAAACTAGTCATTTTCATCCATACATAAAGGCATGGATTTTTGCCCCTTCCGCAATGTATCTCCCCACGCCTAAAAAGGGGAATGGTTTCAATATCTATGCAACTCATGTTATTTGTTTTTTTGTACAAACTAACACATTTTTTAAAAGCCCAAGTAGTTTTACCTTGGAACATGATAGTGCTTGCTCAGAGTAAAAAAAATTAATTACTCTCAATATGGATAATTTTTTCAACCCAAAAATATTCAATATATCTATTGCTAGACAATTTAAAATATATCCTTCTATTTTGGTAACAGCCTTTACTTGCAAGTTTGTTTCCATAGCACCTTTCAAAAGTTAACAAGCAATGAACAACAAACAAATATTTTAGGACAAGAAACAATTCATCCATTCAACAAGAAAAATAAACTGGCTTTGCAGATTTAACAAGAGTTAAAGGAATTTATAAGATTACACTGTAACTATAGAATAGTCTGAGTTGAAAGTTGCTTATTCAATTTGCATTTTCCTCTCTGCTCTAAGACTAACAGTTTCAAATGAAAGACAACTCCTAACCATCACACCAGGACTGAGGACATGTGATCATAGGTCATTTTAATTACTCCTTTGTATATTAGAGAATTTCCTAAATTAGATATTAGTAAGTAGGAAAGAAGGTTATATTTTAAAGTAGTTACGCTAATTTGTATTTTATTTAACTCGGACCTTTTTAGTTATTCTTCACATTATTGCTGTCACTTCCTAATTCCATTCTAACCTCAGACTGCTCACTGATTCAAGCACTTAGTTGTCAACATTCCTAACAAGAATTTCAATGAAAGAAAGCAAATTTTTTAGATAGAGGGACATAGGTTCTAACTTTGTCTCCCACCTAAGAGTCCAGAATAATCAGTAAAAGTGGCACTAACCAAGAGCCTGCCTTTTTGGTATGTCAGACACTTTAGAAGGAATTGGGGGGAAAAATATTTCCCAATAGAAATTGTTTAAGTGTCAGTTAAATTCTGCCTCCTTTCCCATTATACCTGAGTAGAGCAGACAATGGAGGTTGTTCTTTGCAGTAGACCTCAAGGCAGGTGGTACTGTCCCCTAAGAGACACGTTTAGTTACCAAAGTGACTGGGGGACATTACTGGCATTTAGCGTTTGGGGGGCCAGGATGCTTGGCTTCATACCAAGTTTGGGACAGACACATTAACGGAGATTCATCCTGGCCCTGAGAGCATTTTAAATGTCCAGCCAGATTAATCCTATAAACTGCATTACTTTGGAACATAATACTGAAAAGTTCTTGTAAGAAATTACAGAAAAACCCTAGTAATTTAGGAGAAAGTAGCAAAGGTGAGGCAGGTTGAGATAAAATACTAATGCCTGAAAAATTAGTGACCACTTCCCCACATCGTGCATTAACATCTAACTGCAATGTCATAACACTGAGCATATCTAAACCAGTGAGATGGGTGCTGAATCTAAACATTTCAATCTAGCTAATATTTTACTCATTATCAACAATAATGAGGAGGAGGAATCCAGCACTGTGCCTTCAAGTGCCTCAAAGCCTGTGGTACAAACACGCAATAAAATGTAATTTGAAAATATGACATCCATGGAGGGGTTATATTAATATTTATGTGTTGGTTAAGACAGTCTTGTAATTTATCTTAGCATGTTATCCCTAATTCAATCTAAGCTGTTTCTCTCTTGATCATCATAAGTAAGTTATCCAACACAGGTGTTTCTGCTCCCTCCTCTCCTAAAGTCCATCTACATCTCTGCTCTTTCGTTTTCTTGTTTGAAATAGCTCATTTTTTTCTACTGCTCTTCAATGAATCCAAACATATTCATTACAAGCAGGCATATATGCACGCCAGTGCATGCCCTCTCCTAGCACACTAGTAATGGCAATGAGTGTTAACACATTTTGTTCTCCTTTTATTTATCCCTTACATTTAAATTGGAGCATGATACTGATTTTCGACTACATGTGTAGGAAGGTTATAGTGTTGATGAATTTCATTTCAGGGCAGGAAAGTGGGCTTTACGAATGTCTGCTGCAGAGGAGACGGACCTTAGTTCTGATAAGGTTGAGCACCACTGCTCCAAGAGTGGAATCACGTGTTTAACAAAACTCCAAAGTTTCCTTTGCCCAAGCTAGGGCCGGAGCTAGGGACGTTTCACGTCCACTGGCCTGACACTCCACACGCCCAACACACACCCGCGGCCCTAGAACCACTTCTGGTCTCATGCAGGGCCTTGACCATTTCGGGGTGAGGGACCCTTCTGGGCATAGGACAAAAGCCAAGGACCCTCTCTCAAGAAACCCATTTTACACGCTGCATCAATTTCAAGGGGGGCTCCGGTCACACCCTCTGCAGCCCAATGGGAACTCCCGCCAGGAACAGAGGTCGAGCCCTAAATCCCTGCGAGTGGGGGTGGGGAGTGGGCGCTGGAGCCAGTGCGCCTGCGTTCGGACCCCGGGTCCCCGCTTCCCAGCGGCGCGCCTTTGACCAGGGCGCTTCACCTCTGCCTGCAGCCGCGGGGCAGCGCCGCGCAAGTTAAGTGCCTGGCTCATTGCAAAGGCTCACGAACTCGTGCTGCCCTGATGGGCAGCGCGGCGTCCTCGGCGCGGAGTTCGCCGCCGGAGGAAACCAAGGAGGGCCAGGGGTCGCACCGGAGAGCGGGGACCAGCGGCGAGGGGGACGGGCCCCGGCGGCCCGCAGCCCCGGCCCGGCCGCCCCGCCCCGCCCGCGCGGGTCCCGGGACGGAGGGGACGCTGCGGCTCCGCTGCAGCTGGGGCAGGGCTGCGGCGACCGCCCAGGACGCCGGCCCGCTCCTCGGCCCGGCCCTGCGTCTCTGCCGCCCTCACCCCTCCTCGGCCCCATCGACCGCCACCGCCCGCCGGAGCTCACCTCCCCGGCCGCCGCCGCCGCCGCCGCCGCCGCCGCACGCGCGATCTCGCGAGACTTCGCTGCCCTCGGCGCTCCCCCGCCTTCCCCGCGGCGCCACGCGCGCGGACCCCAGCCAGAAACTGGTTCGGCTCGCTCCCAGGAAGCCGACCCCGGCCTCGGGGTCAAGCCCAGCCGAGCTCACGACGCCGCGTCCCGTTCCCTGCATCCATGCAGCCCACCCCGTGACAGTGAAGAGTTAAAAGCCAGGTGCGAGGCGGCCGCCTCCCTCTTACCTGGCCGGCCCGTGCGCGTGCGCATGCGCGAGCCCGGGCCCTGGACCTGTGAGCCTCTGCAGAGGCTCGGGTCCCCGTGACGCTAATCCTACTAGCAGCCAGCCTGGGACTGCTTACTGTGTGCCGAGTACTTTCACAACTCCACTTCGGGCCTCAGGACTACTCCAAGAAGTGGGTGTTAACCATCTTCCCCATTCCAGGAAGGAAAAAACGCAGGTTTAAGTGACTAGCTCCAGGTCACACAGTTGTCTGACGCCCAACCCAAAGCCCCGTTTTTCCACCTCCATGACGACCCCCAGGCCCTGGCCTGGTCCCTCGTTCCGGTGAGGATGTCATGTCTCAGCCGGTCTTTTCTTCCCTCCCAGGGTTCACCAAGGTGAGGGGTGGCGCTGCTAGGAGTTCAGCTGCTTCACAGTCTCCAGTCGCTCTCGTTTTATGGAGCTTCTCCGTCATTACAGGAACTTCCTAAGGCCTCCCCCTGTGCCGGATCCTGTACAGGGCCCTGAAAACTGACTATTTCTATTCTGTCTTCTCTTTACACTCGTGTCATTCGATGATACTAAAGTGGGCCACAGGACATAAAAACCAGATGCACATAACACGAGGAGCACAGGTTAAGGTGTGACCCTTCCTAGGGGTAAAAATCTTAGCGTTATATAATCTGAAGAAGAGGGCTAGCATTCACTGAGGGCATTTCAAGGTCATTACCAATATCCTTCCAAGTTAAATCATAGGAAAATGGAGATTCAAGGAAATAAAGAAACTGGCCTAAGGTTCCATAGTGAGATAGAACTTAGGTCTGAGTCCAGAGCCTAGTACTACTTTGCACTAAAGTCCCATGAACTGACACGAACTGGTTCATCTGCACCGACAAGCTGCTGTAAAATCAAGGGCCTTGGAGGTTGGAGCTCTTCCTTCATCAGGGTCTATATCAGCTTGCTCAGCTCACCTGACAGCCACATCAGGGTCGCAAAGTCACTGCCCTGCCCACTCCCTCCAGAAACAATGCCACCCTCTACAGGCCAGAGATCATGGTGTCTCTCCAAGTGCCAATGGCACCCAGTCCACCTGACGGAGGAAGTGAGGGAGTAAGGGAAGTTCTGCCACATCGGCAGCTACAAGCCAAGCACTCCTCCAGGGCAAGCAGTCGGAGAACTCATTCAGTCCCCCCAACAATCCCACAATGGAAGGTACGGTTGTCCTCATTTTACAGATAAGGAAATCAAGGGGCTAAAAGGGGAGTGAACCTGCCTGAGGGCAGTTGGTAAGTGGAAGGGCTAGGGTTCCACCCCAGGTTGGTCTGTCCCTAAACCCACAAACTTTGGCCTCAGTGATGAACAGATGTCTTCCCTGCCCCCAAAGCCTGTGTCTTCATGAAACCAAAACTGAGAAATCCCCTGAGGACAGGACTCCAGTCTAAAATACTGTATGTTCTCCTCAGGGTGGACTGTGCCTCAATATTCTCATCTAAAATAAGAATATAAATAGGAGATTGGGAGGATTAGCCAAGTTAATATATGTGAAATATGTTGAAAAGCGCCTTGCAACAGATTACACTTTTAGGAAATTATAGCTATTATTACCATGGGTGGGATGTCTGTGATACTTTCTTTTTTCTCCATCTCCCAATATAAACTCCAAGTTAAGTTGGAGGATGTGACCTTATCTGCTCAAACACAGGAATAAAATTAGTTCTAGCACACTGGAAACAAATGTTCCTTAATGGACAAAATTACCCCCACACTTCCTCCTGATGGAAAGAGACCTGACTCTCCTGAAGCTCAGATGCCTTCCCTCTCCCCAGTTTCCTGGGAGACTGGCAGCCAGTTTTATAAAAAGTCTCCCCTTCACTGGGAAAGCCACTCAAATATTTTAAAGTTATTTGGCAAAAGCAAAAAAGGGGAAAAAAATAACTATGCTGAAACTTCTTAAGAGAATTTTGGTGAGGTTGGGGATTAATATAGCCATAGTGACATCATGACTGGGGAGAAAGTTTTTACAGGAACTGAAGTTTCCACTACCCTCAGGCCATGGTCCCCCAAAGTAAGGTTTCTCCCCTGACCCAAGTCATGCTTCATGTTTCCCTCATGGGCAATGGCTTACCATGGAAGTGATCCTCACGGGGGATGAGGTGGGCATAGCAAGATCCATAGAGGGCAATAGATTTTGACAAACAAAAAACAAAAGACTGGGGAGATTCTAATATGCACACCTCTAAGGTATAGTTTCCACAAAGTGCTATTAAAATGTCTTTTGATCCGAGAGGAATCTTAGAAATGCCTACAGTGGGATTTGTTTAATGCCTATTCATTCAATAAAAACTTATTAAACACCTAAGTGCCAGTTAGTGTGTTAGTAGCTGTGAGCAAGACAGACACAGTCCATGTTCTCATCACGTTTATGGCCTAGAGGGAGAGAGGTATTAATTAAATAACTGAACCAATAAATGTTGAAATGTTATGTGATAAAAACAGTGAAAAAGAACAGTAAATGGCCAAAAAATAAAAAGAGAAAAAAAGAGCTGGATGAAAGGGCAGGCAAGGATTGCTTGAACTCAGTTCGGAAGGATGCATTAGAGTGAGCCAGGCAAGGAGGGGAGGGGAAGAGCATTCCAGAGATAGGGACAGCATAGATCCACAAAGTCGGTAAGTGCCGGTGGCTGGAAAGGCAGGGTGCACCAGGGCCTTACAAGGCATCTCAGCCATGTAACACCCTGAGCACATGAGGACAGTGAAGAAGAGAGAACTTACCTGGATGCAGAAGTGTGTCAGGAGCTATGCCACTGGTCCCTCCATACCCCTCCCGCTCCACTGGTCAATCCAAGCTCACTGTGGAATGCGACCACCTCTCCCCAACCAGCGCTTGCTCATGGATGAGCAGGCTGTAGTGATACAGATGTCATATATCTAGCTGATCTGTATTTGAGGGCATTTCACATTATACATCCTAGCCCCCCAGAGTAGAAATCAGGATACAAGCCTGCTGCCTCCTTTGCCCCTAGGAAAAGGAATAAATAGGTTCTACCGGCCAGATGCATGAGGCTGAATCCAGTCGTGAGCCTCATTCTGTTGATGTGCCCAGTGACCAAAGCAGCCAGCTATGGGGCTGGCAGATGCAGGGTTCAGCTCCCAGAGGAGAAGTCACACCGGTGCTGACGGCAGCAGTGGTTGAGGGGAGAACAAATTCAGGCAGGGTGGTGGTTACCTTGCTGGGCCAGGCCTGCCATGTGGTTTGGGGCATTTTTCCTAGAAGCATAGCCTCAATTTCTTTTCTCCAAGCCTCGCAATGATTCTGTGGTAACCTAACATCCTTATTACATTCTCATTTCTGCTTAAGCCCGCTAGCATTTCCACCAAGAATGCTGACCCTTCACAGGCCAAAGCCAGCTGGAGCCAATGAGACTTGGCAAGAAGCTTGCACAGGACAACGACAGGGGAACCTTCTCTGCTATAAATGAGAGCCTCAGGAAGCCAGCTCACTCTTCTTGCTTTACATGGATGCTTAGTTGCCACCACTGGTTTTTCCCACAACTGTGGGATAAGATAAGGCCTGTACTGCAGAGAGCAGAATGGATAAACCAAAAGATCCTGGGTCCCTGACTACATCACCAGGGTGCTGGACCAACCCCAAGCCAACAAGGCCTTAGACATCCCCTTCCCTGAACTAATGCATGTAATTAAATCAGCTTGAGCTCCTTGCAGCCCAAACATTCACACTGGCACAGAGATTCCAGCTGCCTAGAATCCTGGGGAGCTTTTTACATCTATCCCCCACCATCCCCAACTCCCACCCAGTATCAGGTAAGACTACCTGGTTCCACATGCTTCATTCCAGAAAACACATCCTTCGCCCTTACCATCCTTTGACTATCTCTTTGATGGGCACAAAATAGTTCTGTTATTTGCCCAGCTCACACATCTGGTAAGTAACAGAGTTGAAGGTCTGGAGGTAATCCAGATCCCAGCCATTTAACCACTAAGCTTAATGCCATACACCATCCAGCCTCATTACATTAAAAAAAGGATAAAAAAGAATGGCCTTGAGCCAGGAAAAATAGAAAAAGAGCTCAAATGCAGCTCCATATTTGCTTTCTGGCGTTGAGCAAGCTTTTGGTCTCACTTTGAAATGAAAATGAAGGTAATGATGCCAGGTTCAGAGTCTGGCAGCCATCTGAACTGTTCACCCATGCCTTCTGGCTTCCCACCTTCTGGGCACATGCAGGATTGTACTTCCTGGTGTACTTGGGTGAGGTCATGTGTGAGACTAGTCCCCCTAGTTTCATGGAGTGTGCATGGAGGGAGTATGTATCACTTCTGGGCTGCTGCTCTGTTGAGCCAAGTCCCCAGCCAATCCATCGTGGATATATACAATGAGAAAAACCCAAACTTTTTACTGTTTTTAGCCACCGAAAGTTGAGGGTTGATGGTTGTCATAGTGTGTGCTAGTCTTTCTAAGTGATACACACAGTAGGGTCATTTGCTCATTTACTCACTCCAGAAACATTTTTCTGCTGTGGTTCAGACCTCAGCTGGACAAGAGAGGGAGCTCAGGTAGCAGTCCTACAGATTCTGGTTCAATATGTCTGGGATGGGGTTCAGACCTCTGCAGGCTTCTGGGGCTCCCCAGTGATTCTGATGCACAGGCAAGCCTGAGACCCTTGCTTTACTGTTGGTCCCTTGTGATGGTAGAGTAGGACCGAGTCCCTACCCTTGAGGGCCACATAGACTGGGGACAGTGGGTGCTGAGATAGAAAAATTACAATGCAAACATGAATAAATGATCTGAACTCTGTGAAACTAAGTGAGAATATATAGGAGCTTTATGAACTATAAAGGTGTACATGTAATACAAAGTAAATGTGTATCCTGTCAAATCCATTCAACTGTGTGGCCCAAGACCAGGTACTTATGCTCTCTGAGCCAC